AGGTTAGGTTTTTTTTTTTTTTTTTTTTTTAGTTTTTAGTTTTTTTTCAATTTATTTATTTGTTTATGATAAAAATAAGTGAGTTCCTTAGTTTGTAAGCAAAACTCCATATTTTATTTTTAAATATTTTAATTTTTGGTTATTGTGATTAAAAGATGTAAGTTTAATATTTTGATTTTTTTCACTTTCTCACTTTTATTGTTGTATAATTAAACATGCAATATTATTTATAAGAAATCAGGCTGATTATTGAGTGGAATGATGTGACAGTGACCTAAAACGATGTGACAGGGATCAAGAACATAAATATGAATATTTAATTTTTTTTGTGACAATCGATTAGTTATTACGTGTTCATCCATATGAAATTTAGTAGTATGATTGTGTATTTTGACATCGTATGATACCCGAACGACCCATTAAAATTACGTATCTCGTTTAAATTTGGAATTGTTTTTGAAGTTTTAGGTTTAGTAGGGAATTGGGGAAGGAATGGTGGGGAGTGTTGTGTACAAGGGACCAAGCGTGATAAAGGAGATAATATATGGAGTTGGGGTAGGGCTAATGGCTGGTGGTCTCTGGAAAATGCACCATTGGAATTACCAAAGGAGAACCAAGGAGTTCTATGAGTTGCTTGATCGTGGTGACATTACTGTTGTTCTTCCAGAGGACAATTAATGTAATTTTCGTGTTTTTTTGTAAAAATTAATTAGCTTAAATTGTAAGTTTTGTTTTCGTTTAGTTTAATGTTTATTTAAATGCTTTAAATTAGAAAGAACGTTCCTACCATTCTAAAGTATAGTTTCTAAATTATCACCGCGCCGAATTGTTAAGAATGAGAAATAGAATTGAATTGAAGGTGTGTATTTATATTCATAACTTTTAAATATACTATAAATTAAATCAAGAATATCTAAAATATATTTTGTAAATAATATATTCTTCGAATTCTTAAGTATACAGGTATTCATATGATTTACGAGTATAGTTTCTAAATCATCTACGACATTTTTCTTATGGAATATCGCTTCTCGAGGTTTAAATTTTACCTCACGAAAGAAGTAAATTCGACTTCGAGGAGGGAGTGATATTTGAACGGCTAGACTATTGGCTAGACTATTAACACAGTGAGGAACTACAATCCATGAAAAATAATGAGTGTTTGGGTTGAAAAAAAGAAGGTAGATGATTTGATCACGATCGAGTGACATTAACTTCAGCTTAAACCCGAGGATTTTTAGGGAGGTTTTAATCGTTGGCTCGAGATTTTTGGAATATTGGAGTTTGAAGAGGAGGAAGGATATAAGCCCTCAACCCACAATAGATACAGAGAGTGGAGGATTTGTTGTCTTGGGGCTTTGATTGTTGGTTGGAGTATGAAGGATGAGGAAAACTGGGTTGCTATAGTTTAGTTTGGATTCAATTCAGTCAAATCTCCAGTTCTTGAAGGCAAGTTAGAAGAAGAAGAAGAACCTGAATCTGTTGATGTGCCAGAAGAAACTTCAAGTTTGGAAACCAAGCTGCTGACTCTACAAGATCTTCTGGAGGCTCCACAGGGATTCAAAAATGGAGGTTGTTCTGGGATGGAAACCTTCCTCTCTCCTTCACTGCTTAGCAGTTTCACCACCGTCGCCATTGACGGTCTTAAAGAAGCTAGAGCTTGTGTGCATAGCAGCCCTATTTGCAGAACATCCATGGCTTCCTTTGCAGGGTAATCCTTGTTCAAGCATGAGTCAATGGCTTCACTTAATCTCCCTGATTTGTACAGATCCCAAACCTGTGGCATAAGAACAATGAGAATATTATCAACTTCCTCTCTCCTTATATGATTGGTAGTCATGAATCTTACTGTTTGGAGGAGTGGGGTAGAGTTCTCTGTGAAGGAACTGTTTCGTCTACCGCAGACGATCTCGAGTATCAGCACTCCAAAACTATAAACATCTGCCTTTTCGGTAAGCTGTCCTCGAACGAGATATTCAGGAGCCATATAACCTCTGTCTCAACGCACATTGTTCAATTAAGAGTTTGAATAAAGTCAGATACAGATTGTGATCAAGATAGTAAGTAGAACTCTCTTACAGTGTCCCGGCAATTCCGGTGCTAAGATGAGTCTGATCGGCTGCGAAATGCCGAGCGAGGCCGAAATCCGCAATCTTTGGATTGAAATTTTCATCCAGAAGAACATTACTACTCTTTATGTCTCTATGGATTATTCTCATCTTACAACCTTCATGAAGATGTGCAAGCCCCTCAGCTGTTCCCAGGATAATATTGAAACGCTGCTTCCAATTCAGAATCTGAACCTTGTTCTTATCTAGGAGAGAAGAAGGTTCATGAGAAATCAAGCACAAAGAAGCATCAAAAGACGGCTAAAAAGAGCGAAACCTTACCGAAAATGAACTGATCGAGGCTCCGATTCGGAACATACTCGTAGACCAGCAGACTTTCAGGTCCTTCAATGCTGCAGCCTAAAAGGGTAACAAGGTTTTTGTGTTGGATTCCACGGATCAAATTCACTTCATTGAAGAACTCATCAACCCATTGCCTGGTATGGAAAACCAACCTCTTCACAGCAACAATCTGCCCATTTGGAAGAGTTCCTTTATATACAGAACCAGCTCCACCTTGGCCTATCTTACTTGATGGGCCGAAGTAATTAGTGGCCTTTTCAAGCGTTTCATACTTGAAATTCACATCGGAATCCCTAAAGGAAATTGGAATAAGGGATTGTTTTTTCTTCTCTGGAAGAACAGAAGAATGCAATGGAAAATTTAGAGGAATCAACAGATCAATCACAAGATTCTTGACAATTTAGCTGCTGATAGTAAATGCATAACATACAGGGCAATAACAATATCTCCATCCATTGTTTAAATCTGAAAATTTAGCTGAGCTTACCTTTCTTTAAGTTTGATATTCTTGTATAGCATGCAAAAGCAGCTGAAATGGCGATGATCAAGGAGGCAACTGAAGCTAAAACAATGGCAGCTACAGCTCTTCTTCCAGAAAATCCTGAATCAAAGTATAAAAAAGAGATAAAGAATAAGAATTATAGGAAATGAATCTTCAAAATTTTCAGTTCATAGATATAGATTAAAAGATTTCAGTTCATAGAATCAAAGCTAAAACACAGTTCATAGATTAACATGCACCAAAATTTTCAGTTCAAGTTGGGAAATCTCCAAAATCTAAACAAGAAACAGTCAATCAACAAAAGAAATTCTGAAGTGAAACAGTTCAAGAATTAAAGAAACAGGGGTTTCACCGTTTTGATCATCATGATCCTGTTGTTCAGCCTTATCATTGAAGAACTTCACAGTTGAATACCTCAAATAGCACCCAGCATTCAGAGCCCTCCCTTCCCTACTCGGCAAGCAGCTTCTAATGCTCCTCCTCGCCTTCTCCAAGCAAGCCCTACAACCCTCAGGCTCAACACTCCCCCAACACTGCGCCAAACCAAACAGTCCATTAACTTCACCAATCCCAAATCCGCCATTCGCCATGGCCGTCCTCGTCACATTCTCAACAACAACCCTAACATTCTCTCCAAACCCTAACTTATCAGATTCATCGATTTCCCCCAATTCCGAGGTACAATTCACAGAATCCCTAAGGGAATCGGTGGACTCTTTGTAGAAACTGTAATTGTCGTACCGGAGGAAGCATCCATCGAGGAAGATCCGGGCGGAGACGGCGGGAAGGCAACGAGGAAGGGCGGTGCGGCTGGCGGCGTAACAGAGAAGGCAATCGTTGTGAGAGAGATCGTTGAAGCATTGCGATAAGGCAAACATCGGGGGAGTAGAATTGACGAAGTGAGTTGTCCAATTGCGAGTTGTGAGAAGCTCGGATATGGCTTCCATTTCTTCGATGAAGGTTGGGATGAATCGGGATTTGGGCGGAGGCTTGAAGGTTCCGCAGATGCTTCCGGCTTCGGAGATTCGGGGATCTGAGAGAGAAACAGAGAAGAACAGGAAGAAGAAGAAGAAGAAGAAGGAAACTCCATGGATGAAAATGGAAGCCATGATTTTACAGTAACTGGAAAATCTCTCTCCGTGTACAGTGAAGTGTTTGCCGCCATGGATGGAGCTTCTTCAAACATAAATAAATATTTAATAATTTGAATATTATTAAAAATAAATAAATAAATAATAAATAATAAATCGACAATGTGAATGCTTCGATGCATGTCCGACTCTCTCACCTTCCTACTTTGTTGGAGAATGGCGCTCTTATTCCAAGAAAGTAGTTTCTATAATAATTAATAAATTAATAAATTAATAATACTAATTTTTGTTTTTTTTTAATTATATATTATTTGTTTTTCTGTAAAATTGAGTAAATTTCTTAACATGTTGCAATTCTTGTATCTCTTTTAGCTAATAGAATTCGGGCCAGAATTAAAATAGGGCTTAAATTTTTATTACGAATTTCAGCTTGAAATTCACATAAACGAGCTGCTGGGTTATTCACGTAGACGAGCTGAGTAGTTTATGCACGATTTGTTGAAGAGTACCATCGAGCTGAGTAGAAGTCGACCTACCCTTTTTTAAGAGGGCTTGACCTTATTTTACGTGCAAGTCTCAAATCATGATATCCATGATTATTATACCTTATTTAACTAGACACGTGTAATCTTATATATATTTTTTCACATGATCGTCCTCTTTTTTTCCCATGTCTTACCATTGCTTGCTCGGTTTTCACTTACGTAGGCATTGATTACATGACATTGAAATTTTATTCACATTTCTTGATAATATTTCAGGATGAGTCAATGAAATGAAGTGTTGAAAACTCTCGTTAATTTTTTTGTTAATTAAAAATAAATTAATTAATTGTCACTAATTTTTTTATTTATACTACTGTTTAATTAAAAAGTTCGTACTTATAATATTTAAATTAATTAACGAAAAAATTGTACACCAAAGATCAAAATAAACCTTAATTAGGGGTAAAAATATAAAATCTTAAAAGCCTAAGGGCTAAATAGAAATAAAAAATAAACTTTTTTTTTAAATAAAAAAATACTGTTCTCGAAATTTAAACAAAAAGAGACAAATTTCTCTTTTGGTATTTATTTGTAGAGAGGGAAAGAGAGACTATGATTGGGCCACGACGCACCGTTTTATGAAGAGTTGGCCCTATTTAATTTAATGCCTTCATCATCCCCACATTGTTCACATTTCTTTTTCTCCATTAATTTGGTTGCTTGTGGCCTCACAAATTTAGTTTCATTTCATATTTTAATTATTTTGTTCTTTTCTTTTTGTTTTTTTTTTTCTCAATTACCAGACGTATAATAATAAAAGTAGATACGGTAGTTGGCAAAAGATTTTAATGACACTATTTGACATGAAAATAAAATACAATATTTCGAACCGATGCTAACCTAATAAAAACTACTCTCGCTATGATATAATTGTGTGAGAACGTATTTGTAGAATCAAATATAGTCGTTATAGTAGTTCAAATCCAATATCTCGAACACTCGAGCGTTACTCCACAAAGTTGTTGGTTTATGAAAAATATATAATCGGTTAAGATCGATAATTGAGGTGTAAAGCATAGTCGAGTATGTTACGAGATATCAAAGTGAGAAAGATGATTAGGAATGGGGCATTGGGTGGGTGGTTTCATTAAAGGCAAAATCAATTTTGTCTTGAATGGTTGAGAATGTGTGTTTGAATAACACAAATAGTTCCAAATTTGTGCTTTTTTTTTTGCTGTTTGCTTCAAAAATT